TGTGCATGGGGGTAAATTTCCCAGATAACCAGAGCTCAGACAACACTCTCATGGGATTCTTCTGTGGGTGCCAATTACACCACTGGTCCTTGAAAACAGACATGGATAAAGTACCAAAGGGAGAGTCCTGGCAAGTGCTCCCCACGCCCCCTTTCCCTCCAGTCTTACACTGCCCGTTGGGGTTAGCCCAGCCCGGCCAGAGCACCACGCTGTGAATAAGAGACCAAAAGGTGGAAAAGATCAAGCACCTACTCCAGGCCCAGTTTAGTTTCCATACAAACGAAACATGACTCCATCTGCGTATATCCTCTTAGCACTGCACCTCAAATTCCAGGACAATCAGGCCATAACTACTAGTAAATGCTGCTGTGCATATTTTCATCAGTTCTACCAGGGGATGATCAAATCCAGGCCATAGTGAGGTTTTGTATAGCCTGTGAGCTCTAAATGGTTTCTACATTTTTTTAATGGCTAAGAAAAATCAAAAAATAAATCCCATGGCATGCAAGTTTCATGTAAAACTTACATGAAATTCAAAGTTTGATGTGCATAAACTCGTAATAGAATGCAGTCATATTCATTTAAGTATTGCCCACAGCTGTACTTATGTTACAACAGAGTCGAGTTGCTGTGAAAGTCTCAGATATTTACTATCTGGGATTTTACCGAAAAAGTTTGCAACTTATGAGTTACTATGGAATACTCACATCATTCTAGTAATAAACACTGGGTTATTTGATTAGAAAATACAAATGTAGCTGAGAATAGTGGCACATGCTCGTAATTCCAGCACTTCAGGAGACTGAGGCAGGGGGAATGAAAATTTGAGACCTGCCTAGGCCACTTACCAAGACCCTGCCTCAAAATTAAAAATATAGAAAAAGGGATAGGAGTGTAGCTTGGTATGAAGGTCCTGGGTTGATCCCTAGTACTGCAAAACAAAAAACTCATAAATGTAAACTTTGAATAGAGAAATATGTAAAGAGAAAAACAATGTTCTTGCAGAATCTGGTGTGTGTAACTGAGGACTGAACCCAGGGCCTTTGCACTGAACTACTGCCCAGCTTTTTAAGTTTTTGAGACAGGATCTTGCTAACTTGCCCATGTGGGCCTCCAGCTTTTGATCCTCTTGCCTCAGCTTCCCAGAGTGGTGAGACTACAACTGTGCACTACCACCCCTGGCTAGAATTTAGATTTTTGAATGTGTAAAGATAATACTGCTGATGCTTCCTTGTGTGTGTACAGCCAGCATGCAGCTTTCCAACTGAGAAAGAATACAATCTCTCATCTTCAATACTGGACCTCTACCTACCTACCTACGATAAATGAAGAGGCAAAATCTACAGAGCAAAATATAGTCTACTATCAGAAAACACAGCTAGAAACCAGAATAGCACTATGAAGTTAGGCAGTGTTTCCGAGCGATGTCATCTCATCTTCTAGTAAGGTGTTCATACTCTCTGAACCCAAAATAACTGGGACGAATGGTGTGATGAGTCACAGGAGCAGGGGACCAATTTCTGAAATTGGGCCACACTAGAGAAATCTGAGATGCACCCCTGTGATCTACTGTCACCGACAGGGACTTTTGACAGAATTAAAAAGAACTACCTGCAACCTTAGGGGTTTTAAAAAATGGGTTATTGTACTGTGAATCTAGAGACCAAGGTATTTGAATGGTCAGGCTTCCTACACGGAGCACTATGACATTGTGAAAATTAAATTTAGAATCCTGATGTGTGGTATTATTTCAAATAGTTCCAAATCAGTCTCTTAAAAACACGTAGACTGTTAAGAATTAATGTATGATGCCCCTTATATAAGTGTGTTATCCAGAACTAGGTTACACCATCCATCCATTTGTAGTACTGGGACTGAACCCAGGCTGGGCTTGAACTTGCAATCCGCCTGCCTCAGCTTTCCAGAGTACAGGGATTACAGGTGTGCACCACTATGCATAGCTATTTTTTTTGGTATGTGGGATCGAACTCGGGTCCTTCCGCTTGCGGGGCAGACAGTGGAATCACTGAGCTAAATTCCCAGCCGTATAGCTATCTATCTATCTATCTATCTATCTATCTATCTATCTATCTATCTATCTATTTATTGGTACCAGCGATCGAACTCGGGTCCTTGTGCTTGCACAGCAGGCAGTGGAATCACTGAGCTAAATTCCCAGCCGTATAGCTATCTATCTATCTATCTATCTATCTATCTATCTATCTATCTATCTATTTATTGGTACCAGCGATCGAACTCGGGTCCTTGTGCTTGCACAGCAGGCAGTGAAACCACTGAGCTAAATCCCTGGCCCTATTTATTTTTGATGCTGGGAATTTAATCCATGGCCTCATGCATTCTAAGTGTACACTCTACCACTGAACTACACAAACTCTTTATTTATTTGATAAATTATTTTATTTTTTTCTTTTGGTACCGGGATCGAACTCCAGTCCTTGCACTTGTGGGGCAGGCGGCAGCACCACTGAGCTAAATCCCCAGCCCTTCTTATTTATTTGGTACCAGGGATTGAACTCAGGACCCTGCACTGGCCAGGCAGGCAGCAGCACTACTGAGCTCAATCCCCAGGCCACAAACCCTTATTTTTAAGATTCGCAGTCAGCTCTCTATATCTGTGAATTCTTTTTTTTTGGTACCGGGGATCGAACTCGGGTCTTTGCGCTTGCATAGCAGGAGGCGAAACCACTGAGCTAAATCCCCGGCCTATATCTGTGAATTCTCAATCTGTGCACTCAATTTACCCTGGATTAAAAATATCTGGAAAAGAAAAAAATTTTCCCCAGAAAGTTCCCAAAAGCAAAATCTGAATTTGCCACATAGTGAGGACTCTGGTGATGGCACAAGAATGGGGTGATGTGCAGGACCCCAGGTTCCTCACTCCACAGAGCTGTCTTTCCCATACTCATCCTTCAGCACTGTTCGCCTCACACCTCAGCATTCTAGTCAGACCTATAATGGTTGCATCTGTACTGAACATGAACAGATTTTTTCCTTACATGAGGGCCTTGAGCATCTAAAGATTTTTGTATTCATGTGGGATGTTGGACTCAATCCTCCAGATACAAACCGAGAACTGTATATTTTAAAGACACCATTATACTGACTTTACTAGTACAACTATGACAAGAGGGACATCAGAGCTAACCCCAGCTGCACTCTGAGGGTCCATCTGGGAAAGATTTATGCTCTACCACAGAGCTTGAGCACTTACCTCTGTTTACTCCTTGCTGCTCGAAGGCTCTCATTTTATTCAAGACTGGCTCATCAGTGTATTTCTTCATTGCTGCCTTCTCCTGACAAGCGATGTGCAGGTATGTACAGATACCCAGTCCTCTCGCTTCTCTTACAGAACATCTCACAACGGTTAGTGCTCCTCAAATACCTCACACAGAAACTACTCTGCTCTGGCATTCACTGGCACCAACAATGTGGGAAGCTGCTTAGTTTTGGTCAGTTGTGACAGAAAAAGGACACAAAATGGCAAAAAGCAACAGACCTTGCTGTCACACTACTATGCCATGGCCTACAAGCCTTCAGGGTGACATTTCTTCACAAAACTGCCTATTACTCATTAAGGCCTCATAGCCACAGACGTGTCCATTTACAAGGTAATGCAACTGGTAAAAAATGAAAGATTTCCTCTTGATCATTATGGTCCTATTTTCCTAATTTTTTCTTTGCACTCCTGAGAGCCTGTCTGGAGGTTCTGGCAGGGGAGCGCAGCCCCTCATATACCCTTGACCACGGAAATGGTGGTCCTCTATCAGGGAAGGAGCCCACACCTTCAGGCAGTGAGCGAGGAAGGGGACTCCCGCCCAGCCAGTCTTATGAGCTGCATCAGCAGAGTGACAGATGTCACAGCCAGATCACTCACATCCTTCCTTAGCACGGTTACAGTTTGCATCTTCTGAGCAAACAGTAAAAGCCAGAAGAAGCTCCTGACTGTATTTCTCCTGCATGAACTGGTCTCTAAAATGAATGTGAAACAGAGGAAGAATACCTGCAGTGACTTAAGCTGAAAAGGTGCAAGTAGTGAGCAAGCCCTCTGCTTTCACACCTCACGCGGGCCGACCAACAGGAGAGAGCAGGCAGGCTGAGCCATGAGAAAATGCCAGGAGCAGGAGCAAGGTCGGGCCGCTGTCGCTCTGCCTGCCTGTGACTCAAAGACAGCACCAAATGAGAAGACTGAGAGAAAAATCTAAATATATACATTCATTACTTTTCACCTCTTCACAAACTACCTTCTTTCCTCTGTTTCTCGCAAACAATAATCTGCAAGGCAATTAATTTATACAGTATTTCAGTCAAATTAGAAAAAAAAACTTGGGAGGAAAGAATTAACTGTCATTGAAAACTATAACTGACATAAATTTATTTGGTACATGAGAAATTCTCAGAAAATAATAAAAATGAAGTCACCAGATTTTGGCCTTGTGTTTCTTTTCTTCAAATTTAGAATGAAAATGAAGGGGAAGACAAAAAAAGTATGAAAGTAAATATGGCATATATTATTTTACAGTCCCACAGCTAGTAAGTTATGCGGTTACTGGCCATTCAAGCAGTGTGATCTTGTGAGAAAATGTCCCTCGGAAGAGCAAAAAGAAAAATTATGTTAAAGGAGAAAATAAACATGTAAAAACCGCAGTGGAAAGCACATCAGTTAGATATGTCAGGAAAAACAATTTGCCGTTTCTAAGAATAGATTTCCTTACAACTTTTTTTTTTTTTGGTACCAGGGATCGAACTCAGGTCCTTGCACCTGCACAGCAGGCAGCGAAACCACTGAGCTAATCCCCGGCCCTCCTTACAACTTTCAAGTAGGTTCCCCCTTCCATGTATAAATCATACTTGACTTCTTTCCTAATGAATGAATATTCTTAATGCATAAACGAAACACAAAGCAGAGGACCTGACTCACATCTGTTTATAAACACTTACTTTGTAAGACAAAAACAACAATGACAAAAAAACCCTCAAGATCACAGTACACATCAGTTATTTATTTAAATACTTGAAAAGGTCAGTGATGGAAAAAATAGGTTTATCATGACAGTTTATATTCATTAGATTTATTTTACCATTTAAAAAAAGTGCTGCCTCTAGGTTATCCTAGCCAGACAGACAACACTTCATGACACATGCAGCTACTGTAATACTATAATAGACACAGCCATTATAGAATGATTTACAAGTTGGGAGGAAACTCAACAGTAGTAAGGGTGACTTGTTTATTTAAACTAAAAAATAAAACAAACTTTTTCTCAATTGATTGAAAGGGCTACAAAATTCCACCTACTGACAAAGGAAGCAACATAATCACATTGATGACATTTCTGCTAATTGCTTTTACTTTATTTCCTCCTTACAGGACAGCTGGACACTCAGCTATATAATTTTCTAGACTGCATGATGGCTTCAAGGTTGGCCTACCATAAGTGACCGAAAGAAAGTTATGTTGTTCATCTGACATTGACTCATGTGGGTTTTAAAAACAGAGAAAATGGCTAATTGTGCTGTATGTACTTACAGAACCCAAAGAATCAATCTGAGTAAGTGTGAAATAAATAAGTGGTCCATGAGTAAATACAATCTCTGGTGGGCTTAAATCTAGGAGAGTGAGCCCACTGAACACTAACAATACCATGTAGAAATGTCTAGAAACATCATTTTCCTAGAACTCAGTTTGGGAGACCATGTCTTGCCTGAATATATACATTATTTACAAAATATTCCCTTTTGCCCTCTGAAATTTAGCCATTTTTGTTTGGCTATTAAGCTGTTTTCTTCCCATATGCTCAGCAATACTGTAGTTATAACTATCATTAAAATACTCTTATGCATGAATTACAAATATTAATAAAGTAACTCTGCATGTATAAATATCTCAATATTCTAGCAGAATTTAAAGCATTCAGAATGTACATAAAAGTTTTTTTTTTTTAATCATCGCTGTTTCAATAAAGCTTTGTACATGGCAAAGCCCAAAACTGCAAAAACAGTAGCACCGAAACTTGCTCGAAGCCAAAATGTGGAACTCTTGAGGTCGGCTTGTGTCACGTGCCTGTAGTCAGAAAATAGAATTAATATTTAAAACACAATTAGTAGGAAAATCTTGTATCAGTCATATAATGGCCTACTTGTAGGGAAGTATTAGCACACTTGTCAGGGTAATTGCATACAAAAACATTTATCAAGACAGCAACGTACACACTGCTCAGATAACCATTATCTTAAGAAAGTGACACCCTGTAGACATCAGTAAAGACAAATGCCTTCACAATTAGCTGCTACTTGGGAGCTGACATCTAAACATTATAATTTTCTTTGTATGGGAAATGAAGTTAGATAAATCAACCCACCACTTTTTAATACTACCATGGTTCTTCAAAATCAGAATTAAGGCTAGGTTCTCACAATTTTGAGGGTCATATTCAAGAAACATCAATAAGGTGAAATCTTCTGTCCCCAGGAATCAAAAGCTATCTCGTAAGCAGTTAAGTGACAAGTGACAATACTTTTTAAGAGCAATGACTAAAGTCAACTTTGGAAAGTGAGTCCCATAGAAATTTATCACCCCTCCCAAAAAAACCCTAAAGGGGCAGGGCAAGATTTACCAGTTTGCATTAATTTGGTTACTGTTAATTAAAGAGGAAAAAAAAAAACCAACAACCCTGATGGTTAGACAGGCAGTGATAATGGTACCAAATAAAAGACATAGTGTAAAATGATGGATTGAAAAGTAATGACATAAAAGAAGCCATATAATGAATGACAAAAACAGGGACAGCCTGTACCACAAACTGAGTTTGTGAGCATGCTCAGTTAATAACACCGCTAAGCACCCTCAAGAGTCTCAAGTATGACAGCTTACCACGAAGAGGATAAAGCTTTAACCAAAGGTTGGAACATTTCATTCAAGTGTCTCTGAAGTCTTAGTTGCGTGAACACAATTGAAGTGAATTCAGAATTAAAAGCTTAAGAGAGCCTGTCTAGGTTAGGTTATTATACAACCAAGTTAAACAAATAGCTTGGAAGCAAAGTCAGACATCATTAAAAGACCGAGACACTGACATATGCAAAAGTTAAGAGCCAAGAATTCAATTTGTACAAAACTACTTTACTTCCGTAACAGTCACACAATGATCAGATTAGTTATCACAAAATGCAACCTGTATAACCCTATAAACAAAAGTCTACAACACAAGCCAGTGCTCCATGCTTATCATCATGGCCAAGCAACACAGCACTCCAATTTCTCATCCTTACCAGTTTCTAAGAAAAATAAAACACTCCTTCTTACAAAACAAAGTAATAACAGGCCATTCTATCTTGCAAGTTAGTCTTTCCAACAAGCAATGTTTTTTTAAAGGTAGGGAAGAGAATATTTAGGTTTAAGTTTTTCCAGTTGGAAAAACTTCCAACAAGGCTACCCCATTGGTTGTGGGAAATGTTACCTGGCTTCAAGAAAAAGTGGACCACGAGATGACTCCATGAAGATGGAATCTTCTACAGAGCTGACAGCGTGCACCTGGTGAGTAACACTGCCTTCGTCGTCTGCTAACAGCACGGCACCCCACTCAGCTACCTGGGCTCTTAACCTTTTACACACGTGCACAGTTTGGGGTTCACAGCAAAGAATAACATCTCTCAATTAAACATCCCACCATATGTTGAATTGCCTCCCTATACGATGGGTCTCATGCTTTCTACATTTAAAATGAATGCATTCTATAGCAAATTGCCAAATTAAAAAAAAAAACAACAAAAACCCTGTCTATATCGACTCTTAAACAGTCACAAACCAGGCAAGGAAACCTAAGCCATTATGTATGCTCTCTACACAGTAGGTCCCTGTGGCTGTTCTTGGTACATCTGAAACACTGAGAGAAGTCCTGGAAACCAATACCATAAACAGTACTGACAAATGTGATAACTCTAAGTATTTATCTGAAATGGATTAGTGATTATTAGTCATGAAGTTTACAGATGGCTAATGACCAGAATTTTTAAAAGTACAATAATCTCGGTGAAAAACTGACTCCAACATCTCAAACTCATAGACCACCAAGGACCCTGGATGAGAATAAAAAAATTTACTTCTCCAATAGAGATGGACAGAATTCAAAGTGGAACACAGGCTAACAGCGCATTAGAGCTTCTGCTTCAGCTTTGGTCGCCTTTTTTGGGGTGGTACTGAGTATTGAATCCAGATCCTACCTTTTTTTTTCCCAATACCAGGGACTGAACTCAGGACCTTGTGCTTGCCAGGCATGTGCAGTGCCACTGAGCTACATCCCTGGCCTTAGATCCTATCTTATTTTAAAAATTCTACATTTATTATTTAATGTAGGGGGAAGAAAGGGATTAAGATCAAGGCTAGCCATAATCATATTAAAATCAGGGCCGGGGATTTAGTTCAGTGGTGCTGCCGCCTGCCTCGCAAGTGCAAGGTCCCAAGTTCGATGCCTGGTACCAAAAAAAAAAAACCATATTAAAAACAGTCAAAAGACATGTAAATGTTCTTTAAACAGGGATATCTTTTTTTTTTTTTTTTT